ATATACATAGTTTCATGTTTGTTCCCGATGATGGTGGGACAGAGAGCCATATTTTTCCAAGTGGGGGTTTCACCTCAGCCTTGGGAGCTCAATTTTAAATTTAACTTGATTCATTTAAAGTTTGAGTTTATTTCTGGCTTGCTGGCAAAATGCGGCTTCCTGGCTTAGAAAAATTCCCTCAAAACAAACTTGGGAAAAAAAAGAGTCCCACCTAAGATGGCAATGTGAAATACTCTACAGCATTCTAATGAGCTCATTGTAAGTGAATTACAAATACTCAAGTGAATTTACTTTAAAATAGATACGGGTGAACAACCTAAGTGTACACTGATGGATGAATTGGTAAAGATACTGTGGTGTATGTACATGGAAAATTATCAGCCATAAATGAGGGAAATCCTTTTGTTTGTGTCACCATGGATAAACCTTGAGGGTATTAAGCTAAGTGAAATAAGTCAGACAGAGAAAGACAAATACTGTATGATCTCACTTTTATGTGAAATCTAGAAAAAAATCTCCCAGGGTAACAGAGAACAGGTTGGTGGTTACCAGAGGTAGGGGGTGGGAAAGGGGTAAAGGTGGTAAAAAGGTTAAAACTTCCAGTTAATAAGATAAATACGTCCTGGGGATGTAATACACAGCATGGAGACTATAGTTAGCAATACTGTATTGTATATTTGAAAATGCTAAGATAGTAAATCTTAAAAGTTCTTATCACAAGAAATAAAGTATACTGTGTGAGGTAATGGATATTAACTAAACTTATTGTGGTGATCCTTTTGCTATATATACAAATATCAAATCATTGTATTTATTGTACACCCTCAACTTCTACAATGCTATATATCAATTATATTTCAATAACACTGGAAATTAAATAAATAAAATAGATCTGGGTGTGAAAATAAGGTATAACTGGCAATTTCGATTCTCCTGATCTCAACCAAAGGCAGGTTTGCCCTAAAAGGTGTGCTGTGACTTAGAGCAAACACAATGTCAAAACAAAAGCATTTAGGTTCATTGTGGAAGGAAAACCCCTAAATACTTATGTAAAGAGACAAAAACAAACAAACAAAAATCTGCCATTGAATAGCAGAATGCCTATTTGAAACAGTTTATATATCCAGTTCACAGACACATAGGTATAGTGAGGTCCATGCATCACTCATAAGAGCCAAATTTTGAAAGCCTGCACCCAGGTGGAAGTTCTGGATTTAACACAGCATTCAAAATGCTTCTGATCACATTAACTTTATTAATCCTCAGGCTAGTCAAGTCTGTGAGGGTGGATGCTATCATCAGAGGCAGGGTTTGAAGCAAAGCTCCACAGACCTCGTGCTAACCATTCTGATCCATGACCTTTCTTTAAAGGGCTCCAGGGAATATGTAAAAGGGTTGGTAAGCGCAACTGCAGGAGGAGACTAAAGAGATGTTTCCAATAGACAGTTTCTGTGTTGCCTAAAAGCAGCAAATATGATTGATATTCATTGCTGTTGGTGATGATGAAGTCAGCATAACAGTGAACCTGATGGCAAAATGATTACAGTAGGTCCCGGGACATGGAAATTATATCAGGCATGACATGAGTCCCTCAGACTTTCCACAGGTGACTAACAGTTGAAAATTATTTGAAAGCTCCCTACCAAAGATGAGATATAGAAATAATTTTTTTTTGGAAAGTGCACTTCTCACATATAAAAATGTAAAAGTGCTCATCTGAGCAAATACCTCTACTCCTAGCTTTCACTGCTTTTTTATTTAAAATTTCCTGTTTGTAAAAGTCTCTTCTAGGATACGATAATCATGGTCTTAAATATTCCATCTTGTTTGTTTTCTAATCAGCCTTCTTGGGAACATGACACGATTGTTGTTTTATGTACATGTGTGTGTGCGTGCGTGGGTGTGTGCACGTGCACACACACACACACCATGCCCTATATAGTCAGCACACCTTTATTATCAAGCTAACCCTCTTCCTTTGGTTCCAGACAAGTATCTTCTTGTCCTAGGTTGTTTGTTTGTTTGTTTGTTTTTTCATTTAAACTATGTGCCTCCCTTTCCAGGTCTTTAATTCATACTTTTCAGGTTTCTTGATTTTTTCTTTCCTTTGGCCCCAGAAACTGACATTGTGCTAGTAGTTACTGAAGGATCTCCCTTTTGTAAGACTTCTCCCTTATGTCAACCTGATTGTACCACTGAAATGACAATAGATTAACAAAAACGTGATTGTTACAGTTAATTAGTCAGGAAGAGCTGACAGTCTTCAATGAGATTATTGTTTAGTCCTGGAGTTACACTTAACTTCAGGTCTGGCACCCTAGGCAGGAGCTGGGTAGAAGGGAGCAGTGTGGTTAAGTCTCATCTGCGAGGGGTACTCAGCACACTCCAGAACGAATCTCTCACCTTGTTTGTCTTTATTCTTTCCTTCTACACAGCATCATTGAATTCAGTAGCACTATATATTTAATTGCTATACTTATTTATTTTTCTTATTTATTTTATTTTCAATTACAGTATCATATAATATTATATTAGTTTCAGGTATACAAAGTAGTGATTAGACATTTATATAACTTACAAAAGGATCATTCTGATAAGTCTAGTACCTATATGACACCATACAGTTATTACAATATTTATTAACTACATTCCCTATGCTGTACCTTATATCCCTGTGTCTATTTTTAAATGCTATATTTAAATTTAACATTGTTTAAGATTTTAACTTGAGCACAATCAATATTTGGGATCAAATAGATAACTCTGGCTATTCAAACATCATCTACTAAACATCCTGGGAAGAAAGTGGTGAATGGTGCACAGAATTACTCTTGGAAGCAAGGGGTAATATTCAGTATAGTTAACAGTTGGTAAGGCAGGTGAACACCGGATCAGAAGCCCTTGCAGTGTCAGGGCTTAGGAGCTTAACCCGTTAGCTGCTGGGTTGTAGGGAAGTTGTTGTGTCCTAGGGAAGTGACCAGAGGGAGGATGTAGTTGAACTTGGGGAGCTCAGGGCAAGGCTTTTTATCAAATAGCTCAGAAATACTTCAGCAACCAACAGTTATATCAGCGGCCCCACTGAGCACCGTCCTGCAGTGAGGTTCATTGTGCTCTATAATAGCTGGGACCTGTCTATCTTGATTAGTATGTTTTTAACATTAAGAGGAAAGGTTAACTTGCATGAAAAATCATATTGCAATATTTCCTAGTTTACTAGTTTATAGTCTTCAGCCTTATCAAGGCTATCACACATTTGTCAAAATAATGTGACTACTCAATTTGAACCCGATGCATCCCACTTTTGGTTACATTTGACTGGAGTTATTGATTGGCAGATAAGTTGTCCCGACTATGCTGAGGGACTCACTCTGGCAGCCGTTATGACCTATGGACCATTGATGATGGTCAGGAGTGCTTTTCTCTGTAGCACAAGCTGCTTCCCTTGGCACCTTATTCCCACCCCCATGTGCACACACACAGTTTCAGCTCTTCTCTGGGACTGCTCTGAGCTTCTGTTTCCCATACAGGGACACTGGGAGCCTTCAGCCCAGCACCATGTCTTAACTTTATTTTTATTTTTTTATCTCATGGGACCCCTTTGGCAGACTGCTGAAGACCACAGACTCCTTTTCAGAACAAGGTTTTTAAATGCATAAAATACACAAAAACCAATTATATTGAGATACATACAGTTAACATAATGTTAAAAATTTTTGTACTATAGCAATACACATACTTTTTAATTGACATATGACATAAGATCTAGCTGAGGGTCTATCTAATAACTGCTGTAATGGAAGGTATTTGCATCAACTGTGATGTGATGTAAAAGACCAGTGGGTTCTGCTGGAGACTAAGTCATAGATACTTATCCTACTGTCACTGTGGGATATCCTACATTCATAATGAAAGGAAATGCTAAATATCAGAGGTTAGCGAAAATAAAAATGTAAAATTTTTTGTTATCCAAATTCACAGTATCCTTGAATTTTCTCTCCCCTGATGAAGAACTACTACAGGATCAAGTCGCCCCAGTGGCCTCAATAGAGGCCTCACCCCAGGACCTGGAGGCAGAGCCTGAGGCCACCCACACTGAGCTCAGAACTGCCTCTAGGCCGGAAGTTCTTCCAACTAGTCCTGGGAATTTGTGGGCTGGGAAGGGTTCCCGAACTTCGTGGGTTCATTTTAAACATTTTAAACAACCCATCCTTTACTGTTGATGGGGCTTCTCAGCCTCACAACACCTGGAGACCAGGTTTTAAATTGGGGACACCAGTGTGACTTCTCCCACATGCTCCCCTTTTCACCTGGGCACAGATCCCTGGATACTCTGGGCCAAGGCTGAGTTTCAGTTTTCTCCTCTGCAAAAAGAAAATACCCATCTCATGGGATTGACAGGAGGCGCAAATGAGATAGTAGCTGTGAGCTGTGATTTGTACATACAGCATTATCAAAGTTTGTGCTATTGTCATTTTTGAGGGCCGAGAACAATCTCTGCATCCCTATTCCCCAGTGTCTGGCAGAAGGCGTTGAGCACTCCATAAACACTTGTGCATAGACAAACACTTGTGGAATGAATGAAAGAAGTCTGAATTTGTACCTGGGCCTCGGTCCGCAAGAATACCCTGCTTAAGTGTTAGGGCCGGCGCCTCACCAACACTTTCCTTTACTAACAGGTAGTAAACGCCTTTCTGGCTCTGTGCCGAATGGCAACCACAATTCACGTGCTTATTTCTAGGAGGACCCCGGGATGGGACTGCTCCGCCCAGGGCTCGTCTGCTTGGCTCTCGCGCCGCTGCTTCAGGGCCAGGTTTGGGGCGGCGGGAGCGGCCAGGGGTGGGCCGGGGAGGGAAGCTCCCCGATGTTCCACGCTAGGCCCGCGGGGAAGGTGCGGGCTGCAGGCCGCGGCTGGCGCGCGAGGAGGGGCCAGAGGGGTGGGGAGGGGCGGGGCCGGCGTCCTCGTCACTTGATAAAACGCCTGCGAGTCTCCAGAGAACAACGGGCTCATTCAGCAGCGGGGAGCTGCCTGCGAGGGGGAGCGGCCAGGCAGAGAGCGCGACTCGTCCCGGGGGTGGGGCCGGACGCAGCGGCTAGAGCCGACGGAGGTGGCCGCGGCGGCAGCAGCGCGGCAGCCTCGAACCCGGCCCGGAGCGCAGGGCGGCCGCCGCACCGCGCAGCTCCCCGCTCCCTCCCCGGTGCGCCGGCCCTCCCATGGCGGCCGCGGGGCAGCTGTGGCTGCTCTACCTGTCGGCGGGGCTCCTGCCCCGGCTCGGCGCTGCCTTCAACTTGGACACCCGCGAGGACAATGTGATCCGGAAAACTGGGGACCCCGGGAGCCTCTTCGGCTTCTCGCTGGCCATGCACTGGCAACTGCAGCCCGAGGATAAGCGGCTGTGAGTTCCCCGACTCTTCCCACCCCCACCCGGGCGCCGGCCCTCGGGTTCCCGCCGGCCGGTCCTACCCCTCCGTTGCCCCCTCCCGGGGACTCCGCCGGCCCGCGCGCTCGGCCCCGGCTCCTCCTTGCGCGGAGCCTCCCCACAGTCATCGCGGGCAGGCGGAGAACCCGAGCGCCGACCCTACGGACCGCGCGGCCCCTGTGCCAGGCGGGTCTGTTCTCCGCCCCGAGAGAGTTTACTTTTTTTTTTTCTTCTTTTTTAAACAAAGTACTTTCCGGCGGTCCTTCCCTCCGGGCATGTTTTCTGGGAACCCGGCAGGTGGCATGCTTCGCTGAGCTTCACGTGTGTGTTTGGGGCGGGGGTGATGTGGGCTGTAGGGTCGCTGTATTCCTGCGGTGGGGTTCCTGGGAGTGTTGCTCCAGGAAGATCCAGGCCTTTTTCAAACTCAGGGACCACCCAGTCAACCCCGCAGACTCGCGCGCCCTGCAGAAGTTGGAAAGTCACTTTTCATTGTGCCCTGCTTGGCCTTCCCAGAAGAGCGGGTGCTCCTGTACGAGATACATTCGCACACCCTCCCTTAAAAGTAAATGGAACTAACCAAGCACCTGCCAGCAGGGCTAGATCCGCAGAAAAAACAAGCCCCTTTGAATGGTGTGCCTGCGCCCCCCCCCCCCCCCCGCCCCGAAGCGCGGGAGACACCCGAGACCCTCTGGGCCCCGGCGTTGGGCAGGCCCAGTGGAGGGGTGATAGCAACATGTCCGATCTGGGCTGGCACTTTGCAAGCCAGGTTTGGAAGTGACATACCCCACTTCCACCACAGCATAGCGGGGCTTCTCCCGGGAGAAAGTGGAGACCGGCACTCTCAGCCTCTCCTTTTTTTTCTTAGTGTTTGGTTCCCACATGATCAAACTATTTAGGTTGGAGAAGGGTGTTTGGGAGCTTAGTCGATTTAATTGTGGTGGGACTGCATCCTTGATCTGTGTGACCGAAAAATAAACTCACCAAGCCCTCCCCCCCCCCCCCCCCCCCCCCGCATTTAACTGAAGCGAGGTCCTTCCAGGACCAACAGAGCGGAGAAAGCAAAGTGCAGCCCCAGTCAAGAGAGGACTTTGTGTTTAAGAGAGGCGAATGGAATTTTAGAGCTGGAGAAAACCCCTTGATTTCAGCAATTAAGAAGTTTGGAATAAGTGAATATTGTGGGTCCCCGGATCTTAGATTATGTGTTGTTGTTGTTGTTGTTTTTTTAATAACACCTGTTAGTTAAGCAAAGGAATTAGCTGGGGGTGGGGAGGCCCTGGCGGGTGGTCTGGCTATTTGGCCAGCTGCTTATACTCTGCTTTGGAAAGAATTGTTAAGCTGTGAATCTGAAATGAAAGGTGGTTTCTGTTAACTCAGTTAATGGAGGACGGTTAGTGTCTCTGGACACTTAGGAGTGCTTAGGTGTGCATCTATCCACATGGAGAATTTGAACTTGTTAGTGCAGAAATGACTGGGCCAGCAGAGGGAATACACTGTCCTTGGCATTTTCTCTCTGCACCAGACGCCTGGCGACTTCCTTGAAATCCTTGTTGGAGCAAATATTGTGAAGGGGAAGTACTGGGGCAAGAACAAATGTTGGGATGGAGATGAGCAAAATGTGGTTTGAGCCAGGAATCTCTGTTGTCACTAAGGTTAGCAGCATGCTTGCTACAACTTGTTACTGCTGGTGGACTTCTCTGCTATTAGAGCTGCTGCAAGTCCTCCGAAGAGGAATAATAGCCTGTGTTTGGGGTGTAATGCCTTCTAGAAATGCTCTTCTTAAAGATTGACAGAGGGTTTGATCAGACCCTCAGACAGGGAGAGGCACATTTTAAGGGGACTGGATCTTTCTCTAGAGCTTAGAGTATGGCAGTAACCACACTCTAGGGGGCTAGGTTTATGTCACATGCCACTCCTTACCCTACTTCTTTTGGTCAAGTATTCCAGCTTCAGGAGCAGCACTGTCCTCTTGGGATAACCAGCACACACAAGCCATACCCACATCCGTTGTTATCTTTGTCAGTAAAGGATGTGGGCGTAAATAACAGCCAGTAAGGTCTGGACCCTATTGGTCCAGTTTCCTAAATTTTACACTGTCTGGACAAGCTCTGTGGGAATATTTCTGGTGAGAAACCTGAACTCATATTCCTTCTCAGCCATTTAGACGCTGTTTTAATTTAAGCCTTAGTTTCTTTATCTGTAAAACAGAGATACTACTGCTTAATAGGGTTGTTGTGAGGATTAAGAGATAACATGCAAAGTACTTAATTCCTGATTGGCCTGGGTACTTGCTGACTAAATGGTAGCCATTAATGGTGATAAACTTAGAAGCAGTAATTGAGTTCCTACTGTGTGCCAGCTACTGTACAGATGTTAAAAATTCTGTGATTCTAAGACTGCCCAAGAGTAAAGCCAAAGGTTATTGTAGTTTGGGTAATTGATGTTTTAAACTTAGTCACATTTATGAAACCCATTTTCTTTCTTAAAAAAAAATTTTTTTTTCTTTATTGATTTTTAGAGAGAGAGGAAGGGAGAGAGAGACAGAAACATCGACAAGAGATTGGCTGCCTCCTGCATGCCCCCAACCGGGGATCAGACCTGGGCACGTGCACTACCGGGAATCGAACCTGTGACCTCTTGGTACATGGGTCAACGCTCAACCACTGACCCACACCGGCTGGGCTGAAACCCATTTTCAAAGCAATTTAACTTTAGTCTGTCTCAATTAGATTTATAACATTAGAAAATGTAGTGAACAAGGGACTTTAAGTTAGGAGAAGTAAAATACCAAAGATGTGTGGGAATACCAGATGCATGCACTGTTCCAGAAATCACCATAGATTTTTCTGGGTTAAATTTTCTACGATGTTATTTAACTATTTAATAACATCTTAAACTCTACTAAAGATTTTATAATAGAATACTATTGTATCTGAGAGCCTTAAAAAAATACTGTATGTTCCTAAAACTTTCAGGACTATAAAACTGAACTGGAGACTGTAAAACTTCACTCAGGTTTTTAGGTTGTATATTAAAGAAGTTTCAGACTCCAAAATATTTAGATGGTTGGCCGAGTTACTGAGGTCAGGGTCTGAACGTCTTTGGAATCTTTCATTTTTCTTAGGTAGTTAAGGTTGAGTCATACACTACTGCTCCCATCCTCCCAAGCCCCAGGTAGAAAGTATGGGATGATATCTGTGGGTATGCCCATCCTGTGAATCATCACTCTTCTGGGAAGTGATGGATCTATGGAGGACTGCAGGGGGAGAGCTATAAGTAATGTTCTTGTGGAATAATTCTGGATTTATCCCAATTTCTTTTGGGGAACTTTCTGATCACTACCTTCCAGAGGCTCTCCAGGCTCACTGCCACTCTGTTCTGACTCTGTGGTGTTTGTTCTGGATTTTTCTCAGAGTTGTGACTCTCCCACTTTAAAAATCATGTTTACTGAACTAGGGCTCAACTCCAGTGATTCTCAACCTTCCTAATGCCGAGACCCTTTAATACAGTTCCTCGTGTTGTGGTGACCCCCAACCATAAAATTATTTTTGTTGCTACTTCATAGCTGTAATTTTGCTACTGTTATGTCTTAGGCGACCCCTGTGAAAGGGTCGTTCGACCCCCAAAGGGGCCATGGCCCACAGGTTGAGAACCGCTGATCTAGTCCGTCTGGCTCTCTTTGTAGATGAAGAAACTGAAGCTGAAAGTTTAAGAAATGTCTCAAGTCTCACAACTGCTTAAGCAGAATCTTAACAGAATCTGGATTTGAACTTGATCATTTTTCTGACTCTGCTCATGCCATCTTTGAAAGGAAAATTCAGGAATGCCCTTCAGATTTAGAGAAATTGGCCAGCATCTGAGTTTTGGAAATGCACTGTTATGTTGATTTACTGAACTGCTTCCCACATGGGTCAGGGCTATCTATTTAAATATCTGTGCTTGGACTTTCTTCCCCTTGGCCCTTAATCCAACTGGCCTTGTATCAGCTTCTGGGACCCTCCTTTGCCTGTCACCCCGCCCCCCTTCTGAACAAGCCCAGTGAGTAGTGACTAGCTAGCCAGGGATCAGAGTTGTCTTCAGGATGTGTACCTAAGCACTTGCTTCCTTGAATTCATTCAGGGTGCATGTGGCCCAGGGCCATCATCCAGGGACTGTGCTGTCACCTTGAGTTCTGAGAGTAGAGAAAGAGCCAAAATGGGCAGGGACACTTAGAAATCGCAGGACACTGCAAGAAAGCAGAAATAAACAAGTTTAATTTTTACCCAAGTAATTTAAATTTATCCACCTAATGACTTAGGGTTGAGAAAAGGGTCAACATTCATATGCTATGACTAATTTGTTGGGAAAGTCAGGTTACAGTGCTTATATAATAGTCTCTCCAATTGTAAAGAAGCCATTGCTCTGTTTTTTAGCTGCATAAATCTCTATTTTAGCATAACAATAATTATTTAATTTAAGCTTTTGTAACCAAATAGTACTGGAACTATGGCATATGGCACCCTTAGGACCTTAGCTCAACATATTATAGTGGGTGGAGTTGACCAGTGAATTACTTGGCACTTTCAAGAGAGACAGTGGAGACATAATGGAAAATGCTATTGTATGCTTAGATGACAGGGTCAGTTTTATGTGGAACACTGATTGGTTCCAAGTCAGCCCATCTTAAAGAACATCATCATAACTTAAGAACTGGTTTAAATTTCTCCTTGAAAGTCTTTTTTGCCCAACCTACACTCCAACACTTTTTTTTTTTTTTAATCCTCATCCGAGGACATTTTTCCATTTTTTGTACAGACAGAGTGGGAGGGAGAGAGAGGAAGAGAGAGAGAAGGAAACATCGATGTGAAAGGGACACATCGAGTGGCTGCCACCCGCACGACCAACCAGGGCCGGGGACAAACTGCAACCGAGGTACATGCCCTTAGCGGAACCGAACCGGGTCTCTCCGGACCGCAGGCCGACGCTCTATCCGCTGAGCC